AGCACTCTATCTGACAGTGTTTCTCTGCTATTCATAAGGTTTTCAGTGACTAAATATTCGCAAGTGCTTCGTCACTTCTTCTTCCTAGTCTGTCTTCATCTGGAAGTTCATCTGAAACCTGTCCACCATGGGTGACCCTGCTGATATTTAAAATACCCATGGCATAGCTTTCAGCATCACAGCAACTCACAAGCCACCACATTATGACAAACTGACAGACGAGTGGTGGCTGTCTGGTTTTAAGTGGAAACTGTCCTTTTAAATTTCAAGGAGATCTGTGCGTCTGCATAGTAGAGCCTTCCAGGAGTCGGGGTGGGTGTCCATTTGCTCAGGCATCCCGTCTAGTCACCAGAATGGAGGTGCGCACACAGCGAGAGACCAATGAACAGATATCAAGAAAAAGAATGTCCACACCTGTATCTCCGTGGTTCTGTCACGTGTTCATGGCTGTTCTGATCCTCCCCCCACCCACCTCCACTTAGTTTCACCAAAGATGGTGGCTCTGGGAGCAGCTGAGCATCTTGAATTAGGAAGCAATGAATTTCTTGATTCTGTTACAAATTCCCTTATCTGTAAGCCTTCCAAGCTTCCAAATATTCCTTTATGTGTGGTTCAAAGTTCTAGCACCATCCCCTGAGCCTGCTTGCTTCGGTATTCTGTGTTGATGCTGACGGAGGGTGTAGGAGAAACCCCTAAATTTTAGACAGCTGGTTAAAATACCCAGTGTCCTGGGAACCTTCAAACTTGGAGTTAGTGTCTGAAGTCTTGGCCAGATTTGGTAATCTGAAGGGTTGCAACCTTTAACCAGTGAGATATGACTTAACTGTGTGGGTAGGGCCAGAGGAATGGAAATAGTCTGTGTGCGATCAGAATGAACTGATTAAGAACATGCTGCTTGGAAAAATACTTATACCCTGCCTAGTGCCTTTGACAACTCTTGGGAATTTCCACAACGGAATATTTCTGGGTTATTCCTTTCCTAGCAATCAAAGGGGATTAGTAGACTACATGAAACCTCATACTACTTTCCCCCAAACAACTTGTACCAAAGTTATATGTTGGTGAAACATAATGTTTTTAATTTTATCTCTCAGAATGAACTGATAAACAAATTCTCCCACAGTCATAGGAAGAAAAGGTAAAACAACAAATACAAATCAAGAGTAAGAGTATAGAGTCCCCCCCACCCCAGCCCCCCGTTATTTATAGCCCAGGGCAGTGACTCACTAAGTATTTAACTTACTGATCAGCTAACGCCCCAGAAAGGAGTGTTCAGGAGTGCCGGCTCACTCTACCACTCCTTGGCAAGGATGCCAGACCACGGAAGACAACAGTCCAAGTTTCATTTACTCAAGTGTACGCTGCTGAGACCTTCAGGGGAGGTCGACCTTGATCTGTAGCTAGTGGTGTCATAAGAACGGACTATTTCCTCCTGAGTGACCACAGCCTGCTCTGTTTGAGAGAAGGCATAGCCATCTGAAAGAGGAAACACAGGGAAGTCAGCTAAGGGCAACACTGGTGCATATTCTGTTGCTAGGAATCTAGATGACAACTGAACTGGACCACGTTGGACTCATCAGGCCATGGCAGAGAAGAAGGCATCAGGGTGGAAGCAAGATGACAAGTGAGGGTGCTGTGGTGGAGGGATGTGCAATCCTGGCTGTTTAAGAACCACTTGGGGAGCCCTTACAAACATCCATGTCTGGGTTCCTGTGAGTGGGGCTGAATGTCAGGGTGTGATAGTCAACACTCTTCCAGTGACTGTGATATGCAGCCAGGCCTGAGGACCACTGTGAATGGGCAATGACTCCCCTAGTTTTGTTTCTTTGAGGGGGAAAGCTGGGGACTGTGTCTGAGCCCAGCCTGAGACTGTTCAAACACTGCCTTCCCTGATGAGTCCATGCTTTCATTTGTCCTCTGCTGTCTAAGGCTCAGGAAATGAATCTTGAAACTTGAGCACTAATTTATAAGGCCCCAACATTGTGGTAAGCAACACATAATATGAATACTAAATTAGAAACATCCCTGTTGCTAAAACTGGGCTGGATTATTCAAAGTAGGTTTGCTCAAGTCTGAATAAATAACAAGAAGGAACTGGTAAGTACACGAAGGAAGTGAGAAGAGAGCTGTTACATTGTAGAGACCTCAGTCAACATCGCAAAACAAAACGTGTGTTGACTATTGACTGGAACACTGATTCGCTCCATAAATTTTCACTCTAATCACAATAAAAAGTTCAACACAGAAATAGCAAGGACACCTGTAGAAATTGCCGAGAGGAATGAACTCATTGATGGGCACGTGATTTCAGAGACAGCCACTAGTAGAAGAAGTGCCGGTCCTCACTGGGCAATGTAAACAGGTAACCAACACTAACTTTAACTCTCAATGCAGAAAGGACTCAATCAAGTGGTCACACACTTAAGTGAATGTATGTTTACTAAAACACAGCACGTACTGCCAGGCCAGCACTGTTTCCATCCTTCTGTGTCTAAGGGTGTCATTCAGCTCACCAATGCCAATGAACTAATGAGTCCCTAGTCACACTCTTTGGGAAAAGAAAGAAAATGTGGAAATGTAACTTGCTTCCACTGAACTATTAACTTCATTGTCTTAGGCTGGTTGTCTGGTTTGAACTGCAAGGTCGGATCAGGCAGTAGGTTTTCCCTGACCCTTGTGGTTGTTGTTGATAAGTGCCGTCAAGTTGGTTTCAACCTATAGTGACCCTGTGTATGGTTTCTGAGGAGCGGCTGGTGAGCTTGAACTGCCAAGCTTACAGTTCAAATGACTTTACAGTACAGCACATTAACCCGCAGCGCCACACCAGGACTGACAAATCTTACACTGTCTGGTCAGGCAGTAGGCTGCTGGCTCACAGTCCAAGAATCAGAAGCAAGAGGATGACAAGTTGGAGCTAGGCTCCAGAGAGAACAAGCTTTGTCAGAACACCCACACATATTGGATGCAGGGCACACCTCCAGAGAAACTGATTGCCTTTCAACTGTTTATCTTTCAACAGACTGACTTTTCAACTGATGGGCTGCTCACATCAGATCACAAAATAGACTATTACATTCTATTGCATTATGACGGTCCAGGGTCTGTCAAGCCACCGAGAATCATGGTCTAGCCAAATTGACACATCACACACATGAAATATTTTTGTTTGAATGAAAAGACGGTGGTTCTTCTTCACCATGAATACATTTTAAAAAGGAATGGTAATATATGTTTTCTATTGCTCATATGTGTTCAATGTTATTTGGGTCATTCATATACAAGATAATGTTCTCACATCTTAAGAAGAAGGTGTTGAAGTGGTTATAGGACCCCATGAGCCCACCATAAAGCACATACCCCCCTCTTTGAATCCAGATACATGGGCCTTTTCGACTCTCTGTTGCCTGTGATGATGTGCTTCCATTGACTTTATTCCATTGTGTAGAGCCCGGCTCTCAGACACCATGAAGAATCTTCCAAAAGTCCCGTGATCCATGAAGTGGCAAAGCCAGGCTGTGGCTTCCTGTCTGCCTGTTTTCAGCATCTGGGCTCCTTCTTCGGACAGTGCGCTGGTCTGGAGTAAGGCCAACTTCCGTTCTTCCAGTCTAGCTTCCTCCAGTAACTGTGGAATCTAAAGCAAGTGGCTGACCCTTCCAGAGCCTCTCTTCTGTGAGGTCAGGGTTCATAAGCCACCACCTCCAGACGGTGTCTCCAAAGACTCTGCCCTGGAGATGGTCTGGTGCGTAACAGAAGGCCAAGCACATGGGGTGTGCTCGGTAAGCACAGGCTCCTTTCTGTCTATATGAATAACTCAGAGAGCTAAGAGAGAAGAAGGGATGGATATCTACTAACACATATAATTCAGCTTGGACTTTTCCTGAATGAATTTACTTACTCAATAAAATTTGTATTAACTGTCTGCTATAGGGTTCTTCTAGATGTTTAGAATCAGACAGGAGACAAGACAAAATCCTTGCTCTCGTAGTACTAACATTCCAGCAATGAAGACAGATACTAGATATTCAATAATGACATTTAAACAAAAAAGTTCAGCATAAGACAGTACTCAGGAGCTCTGAAACAAAGAACAGATAAGCAGGTCACAGGATGTGGCAGCTGTGTAGCTAACCAAGGTCTCGACGTCAGGGCAAGTTGACCGGCCACACCTGCAGGTGGTGGAGGGGTGAGCCTTGCAGATACATGATGATTGGCCTTCTAGATCATGTAAAGGCCCTAAGGAAGAACCTTCTGGATGTAATAAGCACAGAGACTGACGTGGAACACAGGAGAGAAAGAAGAGTGGGGGCTGTCGGGAGAATAATAGAATCCACATGGTTATTGTTGTTAAGAGGCATCAAGTCATTTCTGAGTCATAGGAACCCTGTACGGTTTCCAAGGAGCAAATGGTGAGCTCGAAGTGCTGACCTTGTGGTTCAAACCAACCTTGCAGTCCAGTGCATTAACCCACTGTGCCACACCAAGACTCCACATTCAGTAAGGCTTTACTGACTGCTGTTTTCATTAAGTATAATGGATAACCACTACCTGGTTTTGAGGAAAAATTGATGCGTCCTGCTGTAGTTTTAAATGGGGTACCATGGCTGTTGCATGAGGAGCAACAGTAGAGACACCGAGACCTGTTAGGGAACAGCGCAGACGGAGGTGTAGGTGGCTCATACATGAGCTAACAGTGGAACAAGTCGTCAGATCCTGAATACAATGTGGTGGCAGGGACAATGCAATGGCTTCATGGATTGCGTAGCACACGTCAGAAGAAAGGGGAAGTTAAGAATGGTCCCAAGGACACTGGCTCAAGTCAAAGTATGGAGTTGTCGGCATACAGGTCAGCTGGCCGGCGTGAGGCCACAGGTGGAGCAGACTGAGTGTGAGGGGTAACCAGGAAGTTGTGGGCATGTCAAGTTGGAAATCTCTCCTGTTGTTGTTGTTAAGTGCCACCGAGTCAGTTCTGACCCATAGCGACCCTGTATAGGGTTTCCGAGGCGCAGCTGGTGAGCTTGATCCAATGACCTTGTGGTGCAAATCGACTTTGCAGTAAGTTTATCAGTGCATTGGCCCACAGTGACCCAACAGAACACCAAAAGGAAATGTAGGTTGGGCCCTTGAATATGGAAGTTCAGGAGAGAAGTGAGGGCTGGATATATAGATTTAGAAGCCAACAACATGTTGCTGTGTGTTGTCTGCTTGATTCCAACTCATAAAGATTGTACTGGTGAAGACTGTGGGCCGATATGGCTGGGCCATGGTCCTCAGTGACTTGTGAGGTGTGAGGCAGTCTTCCCTTATGAGGCATTCCAGTGTAATGCAATCACCGTCATGTTGAGTCCTGCTATGAGCAGCAGATCATTCCAAAGGGAGTTTCCCAAGGGGTGGGACCCACTTCCAGTATCTGTGGACACTCTGGCAAAGCTTGCTGGCTTGTACTGAGTCTGAATCCTACATCTAGCCCATCACCTGACTTCTGGGTCTTTGGACTTGAGCCAGTGCCCTACTGTATACCCTGCCGATCCAGGACCTACTTGAGTCCAGAGAAGCCTCAAGTCTGATGTCAGAGTCACAGACTTGGAATCTGTCTGTCTCCACAGCTGTGTGAGCCTCTTCCTTGAGCTAACTCTCAAATGATACCGGCATCAATTGCTCATCTGTCAGTCTGTCACACTGTGGTTGGTGGTTTGCATGTGGCTGTGATTCTGGAAGCCATGCAACTGGTATTTTAGATACCAGCAGGGTCACCCGTGGTGGACAGGTTTCACTGGAGCTTCCAGAAAAAGACACACTTGGAAGAAGGAGAGGTGGACTACTTCTGAACCGTTATACAGTGAAAACTTTATAAATAGCAGAAGAACATTGTCAGATACAGGAAAGCACTCAAAATATAACAGGGGAAGCACCGGCCCTGCAAAGCAAAGTTCATCATAATGACGTGAATGAAGCAAAACTTTTTCAGGACCTTCACTTAATGATAGGGCACAATGCAAAATGAGAATAAACATTTACAAATATTCATTAAAAATCAGGACTTAGAATTATGATGTATAAATCCAGGAAAAGTGAAAGTTATAAAAACTGAAATGAAATGCATGAAGATCAGTATCCTAGACATTGTTGTTGTTGTTGCTAAGCATCATCAAGTCGATCCCGACCCATAGCGACCCTGTATAGGGTTTCTGAGGAGCAGCTGGTGAACTTGAACCGCCAACCTTGCAGTTCAAACGGCTTTGCAGTCTGGCACATTAACCACAGCGCCACACCAGGACTCCATCCTAGACTTTAGGGAGCTGAAATGGACTCGTATTGGTCATTGTGAATCAGACAACCATATGGTCTACTATTCCACGGACGTCAAACTGAAGAGGAATAAAATCACTTTCATCTTCAAAATGTACACTTCAAGATCTCTCTTAAAGTACAATACTGTGTCTGATAGGGTAGTATCCATATGCCTACAAGGAAGACAAGGAGTACTGGTATGGTGCTGTAGGATAAGCACCGAACTGTTAACCACAAAGTCGTCAGTTAAAACCCACCAGCTACTCCTCGATAACTCTATACAGGGTCGCTATTAGTCAGAACCAACACAATGGCACACAACAACATAACAAGGAAGACCAGTTAATACCACTCTTATTAAAATGTATGCACCAACCACTAAAGCCAGCCATGATGAAACTGAAGAATTCTACCAACTTCTTCAGTCGGAAATTGGTCAAACTTTCCACCAAGACGTATTGATAATTGTGGCAAAGGGAATGCAAAGGTTGGAAACAAAGAGGAAGGATCCGTCGTTGTAAAACATGGCTTTGGTGATAGAAACGATGCTAGAGATTGTATGGTAGAATTTTGCAAGCCCCACGACTTTTTCATTAATCAAACATGTAAACAAGATGCACTGTTAAAGGTTGGGTGATTGGAATGCAAAAGCTGGAAATAGAAAGGATCCGCCGTAATTGGAAAATGTGGCTTTGGTGATAGAATGATGCTCAAGACTGCATGATAGACTTTTGTAAGACCAAAGACATATTAATTGTAAACACCGTTTTTTCAACAAAAGACAACTATACACATGGACCTCATCAGGTGGAATTCATAGGAATCAAAGTGTGGGAAGAGATGGTGGAGAAGTCCAACGTCATGGACCAAAACAAGGCTGGCATAGACTGTGGGGCAGACCAGGCTAGTCATGTGTAAGATCAGACTGAAGCCAAAGAAAATGAAAAGGACTCCACAACAGCCCAAATATGACCTTGAACATATCGCACCTGAAATGGAGACGCTCTCAAGAGCAGATGTGATGCATTAGACACTGATAATCTAAGACCAGAAAAGTTATGGGATGATGTCATTTAAAAGATCATTAAAAAGCCTGGAAGGAAAGAAAAGACCAAACTGGATTTTAGAAATGCCTCCGAAACCTGCTCTTGAGTGCAGAGAAGCTAATGTGACTGGAAGACATTGCAAAGGGCAGCTCGAGAAGACAATGCCAAGTATTATAATGAAATGTGCAAAGACCTGAAGGTAGAAAACCCAAAGGGAAGAACATGCTCAGCATTTCTTAAACTGAAAGAAGTCACGCGATGCTGGAAGCTCTCTCAGCATTTCAAATACCTGGAGGGTCACCTGTGGTGGCCAGTGTTCGGTGAAGCTTCCACACTAAGAGGAAAGACCTGGTGATCTGCTTCTGAAAATCAGCCAGTGACAACTCTCCGGAGCCAACAGAACACTGTCTGAGAGAGAGTTGCTCCAAGATGAACCCCTTAAGCTGGAAAGCACACAGAAACCGTAGTGGGTTCGATAATGGACTCAGGCGCACCTACTACAGTGATGACGGTACAAGACCAGGAAACACCGTGTTCAGTTGTTCACGCGGCTGCCCTGAGTCTGAGACTCAAAGGCAGTGGCTAACACCAAGGCCACCAAGGCTCATTCCTCCTGCCTTTGTCTTTGTCTGGGCTCCTTTTCCAGTTCAGCGGTAAGCACTCACTGCTGTGGGCAGGGGTCACATTGTTTCTAAGTCTCTCGTCTCAGCAGTTCTTGGAAGGTGAAGAAATGAATGGCACAACCAGCTTTAAGGCCAAAGTGGGCTGTGTTAACATTTATACCCAACCGCGGATGCAAGTTCCCTTTGGGTAAAAATGATTTGGAAGCCAACATTACTTTTATATTTAAAATGGTATTTGGGGGGAAAAGAAAAGGATCTGTTCAAGGATATTGAAAACTGCAGCATTTTCCATTTACGTATTTGAACGTTTAAGATTGGGTGCCGGGTTCCCTGATCATGCATGGAACTACTTCGGCCCTCTTCTTTCATACCTGATTTTTTCAATTCATCTTTCATGCTCGTGTATGGAGTGCCCCGTATCACGATCCTGTCACTTACGTGGGATAGTTTGCTCAACAGCCTCATTCCGGAAGGCAAGTTCGTAAGTCTGGCTCACTTTCGGTTGTACTGCCTTTACTCTGAGGACACATCAAACAAAGCCTGTCTTCAGTCCATCTGAACAGATCTCACAGGAATTTGTTAGGGGATGGGGAAGAAAAAAGTGCCAACAACAAGAAACCTTCCTCACATTTTGGAGAGTATCCTTCTATTTAAAATAAATCGGATATTATCAAGACACAAGATGCTTCCTCTAAAACAGCATTTGTGCAAAGCATTTCTTCTCTTGCTTTACTTTTTATTGTTAAAATTGGGTGAAGATTTATAGGGCAGATCATCAATTTATCCTTTGTGAGAGTTAAGGTTTTGTGTTAACTTGGCTGGGCCAGGATTCCCAGTGGTTTGCCAGTTGAGATGTTGTTATCTAACTGGGATGAAACCTAATACAAACATAGTTAACTCTATGACCATTGGCTACAAGCAACCAACCAAGTGAAAGGATGTTTCCTGGGGTGGGGGTGGGGGAGTAGGGGGTTATGGGGGCTGTGGGGGATGTGGCATGCTTCCAGTATAATGGTCACACAGGAATAGCTTTTTCCACTGGGGACCTGAGACTTTACAATTGTGAGCCACTTCCTTGATATAAACTTCTCTTTATATATGCACAGATAGAAGTTTCACTGGTTTTGATCCTCTAGACAACCTGCCTAAGGCAGCATTCAACATTCAGACACATCTTATTTCATCTCACTGACTGAGATCCCACACGGTAACCTCACTCCTCCCACTGCCTTCCTGTGCTTCCGGTTTCTAGTCCACTCTCTTTCCTAACCCTTCTGAGCTTTGCCCTTGGGTAAATGCTACTCTGTTGATTGCAAATGGTTGAATCAACAAGAAATGCTCAACGAACCTGCGGGAAGTAGGTAGAGACAGGAAAGACCTTGGAGAGGGAGAGGAAGGTGGGAAGAAGATCAAACACAACCGGCTCTTAGCAAAACGAGGGTAAGCGGAACGGATTCACCTCTTCTCAAAATCTCTACGAAGATAATCTTGTCTTTGTACTTTCATGCTTTCCAGCTCCCGAATTTCCTCTAGAAGGGTTCTCTTATAGGTATTTTTGACCCTGTGACAATCAGGAAAGACAAAAATTAACCCTTGAGCTTTGTTGTTGTTGTTAAGTGCCATTGAGTCGGTTCCGACCCATAGCAACCCCATCCGCATAGGGTTTCTGAGGAGCAGTTGGTGAGCTTGAACCACCGACCTTGCAGTTCAAATGACTTTGCAGTCTGGTGCATTAACCCACAGCGCCACACCAGGACTCCACTTGAGCAGACCACAACACCTATCTCCCAAGGCAGAACTACTGGTGGGTTCGAACCACTGACCTCTTGGTTAGCAGTTGAGCACTTAACCACTGTGCCACCAGTGTTTTACGTTTATCACACCATCTTTAACCAAAGGCCGTCCAGCTGTTGTTTACGGTGGGGGGGGTCATCAGTATTTCACACTTGAGCTTTACACACTTGTGAAATAAAGATGACAGCCTTGGAAACACCAGGGGACAATTCTACTCTGTCCTATAGGATTTCTGTAAACTGGAATCAAAAGGTTTGCTTCAGCGTAATGAGCTATAAGTCCCCTGAAGGGCACTAACTTACAGGCTGGCAGTTTGAACCCACACAGTGGTCCACAGAAGAAAGACCTGGAGATCTGCTCTCCTGAAGATCACATCCCAGAAAACCCTGTGGAGCAGTTGTGTTCTGTAACACCTGGGGCTGTGGAGACTTGGAATGGACTTGGCAACAATAGGTTTGTTTTTTCTTTGCTTAATAGGGTATAATGAGGAGCTCTGGTAGCGTAGTGGTTACAAGTTGGGCTGTTAACCTAAAGGTCAGCAGTTTGAAACTACCAGCCATTCTGTGGGAGAAATATGAGGTTTTCTGCTCACCTAAAGATTTGCAGCCTCAGAAAGTGGATGCAGGGGTCGCTATGAGTAGGAATTGACTCCATGGCACATCACCACCACTAAGATATAACATAGCAGAGACTACCAGAAAGATGTTTACCCATGTTTTATTGTTTATGCAAAAATCTTTGACTGTGCAGATCATAACAGATTATAGGTAACATTGCAAAGAATGGGAATTACAGAACATTTCATTGTGGAACTTGTATATAGACCAAGAGGTAGTTATTCAAACAGAGCAAGGGATAAAGGCATTTGACAAAATTCAACATCCATTCCTAATAAAAACACTCAACAAAGTAGGAATTGAAGAGAAATTCCTCAACATAATTAAGAGCATATATACAAAACAAACAGCCAACATCATTCTCAATGGAGAGAAACTGAAAGCATTCTCTTTGGGAACAGAATCAGACAAGGATACCATTTATCACCACTCTTACTCCATATTGTGCTGGAAGCCTTAGCCAGTGCTATAAGGCAAGAAAGGAAAATTAAAAGCATCCAAATTGGCAAATGAGTCCTTTGAGTTAATGAGCTGGACTGCAAAGTCAGTTTAAACCACAAGGTCAGTGGTTCAAGCTCATCAGCTGCTCTTCAGAAACTCTGTACAGGATTGCTATGGGTCAGAACCGATTTGACAACACTTAACAACAACAAATTGGTAAAGAAGGAGTAAAAACTCTCTTTGTGGGTGATATGATACTATACACAGAAAATCCCAAAGACTCAGCAAAAAATTTACTGGAACTCTTTGGAAGACTCAGCAAAGTGGCAGATCAACATACAAAAATCAGTTGGATTCCTCTATACTAATAAAAACAGCTCTGAAAAGGAAATTAGGAAAACAATACCATTTACAACAGTCACCCAAAGGATGAAATATTTAGGAATAAATCCAACCAGAGAAACCAAAGGTCTATACAAAGACAACTACAAAACACTATCACAAGAAACCAAAAAAGATGTACAAAATTAGAAGAATATACCATGATCATGGATATGAAGACTCAACATTGTGAAAATGTCAGTACTATCCAAAGCAATCTGCAGATATAACGCAATTCCAATCCAGATTCCAACATTTTTTAAAGAGATGGAAAAATGATTATGAATTTTATATGGAAAGGAAACAGTTCTCAGATAAGCAAAGCACAGCTTAGGAAGAAGAGCAAATTTGGAGGCCTCTCACTCCCTGATATCAAAATTTACTATATGGTCACAGTGGTTAAAACAGCCTAATACTGGTCCAAAGAAAGACACATAGATCAATGGAACAGAATCGAGAACCCAGAAGTTAATCCATCAACATACAGTCAACTGATCTTTGACCAAGGGCCAAAGTACATTAAATGGGGAAGTGAGAATCTCTTCAACAAATGGTGCTGTCAAAACTGGATGTCGATATGCAAAAGAATGAAACAAGACCTTTACCTCACACCATATACAAAAACTAACTCAACAGGGATTAAAGACCTAAATGTAAATCCCAGAACTATAAAAATCATCAATGAAAAATTAGGGACAAATTTAAGGGCTCCTGGTGTGGCGCTGTGGGCTAATGCATCAAACTGCAAAGTCATTTGAACTGCAAGGTTGGTGGTTCAAGCTCACCAACTGCTCCTTGGAAACCCTATACAGGGTCACTATGGGTTGGAATAGACTCGACAGCACTTTTAACAACATCAACAATACAGGGCAACACGTGGCAACGTGGGCTAATGCACTGATCTGCAAAGTGGGTTTGAACTATAAAAGTCATCAATGAAAAAATAGGGACAAATTTAAGGGCAGAGATGGAGGCAGAGATGATGGCATAGAGAGATAGAGCAGCTGAGGATTCTAGACCCATGGAAAGAGAAAGGCTGTGTGCTGATGGGCAGAAGGCTGGCTTTCAAAATGTGCCCTTTGGTCATTTCAACAAATATTATATATATATATTCTGTGTGTCTATGTACATCAAAAGGAAAAAAGAGGTATGAATTGGGCTGGTAATCTCAGGGTTGGCAGTTCGAAACTACCAGCAGTTCCACGGGAGAAAGAAGAGGCTTTCTGCTCCCATAAAGATTTGCAGCCTCGGAAACCCTGTGCAGGGTCACTATGAGTCGGAACCGACTCCACGGTACTTAACAACAACAACAACAATTGTTAACCGGTGGTGCATGGAGGGGATTGTAATCACTGCAATAAAACAAGATATGATTGGTTGAGTGTAAAATTGATCATCTGCCCTGCAAACTATCACTCAATACACAATAAAAGCTTTAAAATAATTTAAATATATTTGCTGGTTACTGTCACATTTTTCAACTTACGTTCTCCACAGTATATTTTGAATCAGACAAGCAGTGGGGACAAGGAGAAAACCCAGCCAGAAGTGTGGAGACACCATGGCCATGTTGACCTGCAAAGAGGCAGAAATGAAGAGATTTCTTTAAATAAAAATCTTTCTGTTTGTCAACCCTGGAAATCAAGTACAGTTGACAGGTCTCTCCGAGCCCCCCAAATCTGGAGAAGATAGAAAGATTCCGCAGCAGTCATATGAATGTGGCATAATTAAGTAAACACAGGACTACGAAACCTTAGTGCATCATGACCTCCACTTGTTACCTAATCATGCTTAGACTGACTCACATACTGTGGGATTTTGTGATCTGTCTTGTCAACATTGAAGGGACACAATAGTGAGCCTGATTAATGCAGATTCTTTGAAGTAGTGAGAGTTTAGCTAAAAGTAATTTCTATGGTAACTAAAAGGTCAACCCAAAGTCGGTTGGATCCACACCAACTTTTCATTGCATTGATTCTTATCTTTCCTTCACAATTTATTTTGAAAATAACAACTGTTATTTTATTGTTTAAAAAACCTGAGTTTTCATGAGGGATGAATCGTATACTCAGCAATACGACAGGGAAGAGAACTCACCTGCCCTCTCATATCTGGAGAGACAGGAATGGTGGGCCAGAAGTAAGAATAGATCGCAAAAAATGCCATCCAGATTATGATGCTTCCCCAAATTGCCAAGTGAGTAAACTGCAGAAAGAAGGGCACCACAGAAACACTTCAGTCTTGTCTATCAAAGAGGGGGAACAGGTATTTAACTCTATCAGGTAACAAAATACATTTGTCCAGCTCATGTTCCCATATGAAGATACTGGTAAGTTTTTAATTATTTGGTGATTGAGACTTCTTTTTCAGCATTCTTCTCAGAATATTTGACTTTTTGGGACTAACGGGACCACTGTTCAAAGTATCCAAGTCAATAGTGCCTTGGTCACCCCAAGTCAAGTGTCCCCAATCAGTAGGGGTAAATATTAAGGAGACTGGAGTTCTGGTGTGGCACTGTAGGATAAGCACTGGACTGCTAGGTTGGTTTGAACCACAAGGTCAGTGGTTCAAACTCACCAGCAGCTCCTCACCAACCTTGGGTTCAAAGTGACCTTATGGTCCAGTGCATTATCCTGCAGCGCTCCACCAGGACTCCAGATATCTCATTACATAACCCAAAAGTTGTGTGAATCCATACTGATTGTGGCACTGCAGGATAACGCACTGGACCACAAGGTCACTTTGAACCCAAGGATGGTGATTCAAACTCACCAGCTGCTCCCCAGAAACTCTATACATGGTTCATGTCCCTTAATAACAGTAATGAGATCTATTTTTGTTGTTGTTGTTAAGTGTTAAGTCAGTTCCAACCCACAGTGACCCTGTATAGGGTTTCCGAGGAGCTGCTGGTGAGTTTGAACCACCGACCTTGTGGTTCAAACTGACTTTGCAGTCCAGAGCATTAACAACAGCACCACACCAGGACTCTATTTTACCAACTTATTAATATAAAGCTTTTTTGAAGGTTTAAAAAAAAGTTGGATATAAATCATTAAGAGGGATAAGACTTTAACTCTGTCATACTTGCTCTCTGGATATAGTTCTGGGTTGACGACTGAAGTTCTGGTTCTCAGATTGGTTGCAACTGGAGGATTATTTGCATATCAAATATGTTTGTGATCCTAGTAGCTATTGTTGGCTGGAAAATATTTGCCCATGTTTGATGTGAGAACTCGGTACACACTTTATAATGTTAAATACTACGGAGACTGGAGTTCTGCTGTGGCAACGTAGAGTAAGCACTGGACTGTTAGGTTGGTTTGAACCACAAGGTCAGGTCGGTGGTTCAAACTCACCAGCCATTCCTTAGAAACCCATATACAGAGTCACTATGAATCGGAACTGACTCAATGGCATTTAACAAGGCACTACAGGTTTACAGGTAAACCAGTTTGACATGTAAAACCTTACAAGGAAGTTAGACATTCTTATTTATATGAACTATTCAAAATCAAGAGTCAATGATACTGAAGGAAGAGGCCCAAGCTGCACTGAAGGCATTAACAAAGAACAAGGCTCTGGGAATTGATGGAATTCAAATTTAAATATTTCAACAAACTGATACCGCACGGGAAGCACTCACTCATCTCTGCCAAGAAATTTGGAAGACAGCTACCTGGCCAACTGATTGGAAGAGATCTTGTTTATGCTCACTCCAAAGAGAGGTGACCCAAAGAAATGCAGAAATGATCGGACAACAACATTAACATGCATGCTAGGAGTCCTAGTGTGGCGCTGTGGGTTAATGTGCCAGACTGCAAAGCCATTTGAACTGCAAGGTTGGCGGTTCAAGCTCACCAGCTGCTCCTTGCAAACCCTATGCAGGGTTGCTATGGGTCGGAATTGACTCGATGGCACTTGACAACAACAACAACAACAACAACAACATTTTGCTAAAGAGAATTCAAAAATGGCTGCCGCAGTACATTGACGGAGAGTTGCGAGAAGTTCAGGCCATAATCAGACGGGGATGCGGCATGAGGAATACCATTGCTAACATAAGATTGATCTTGGCTGAAAGCAAAGACTACCAGAAAGATGTTTACCTGTACTTTATTGAGTATGCAAAGGCTTCTGATTGTGTGGATCATGACAAGCCATGGACAACATTGCGGAGAATGAGTATTCCAGAGTGTACTCATAAGGAATATGTACACAGGCCAAGAGGCAGTTGTTCCAACGAACAAGGAAACACTGAATGGTTTAAAATCAGAAATGTTTTAAAATCTGGGTTGTATTTTTTCATCATACTTATTCAGAAATCAGGGTTGCATTTTTTCATCATACTAAACTGAACAAGAGAACACTGAATGGTTTAAAATCAAGAAAGGTTTAAAACCAGAAATGGTTTAAAATCAGGGTTGCATTTTTTCATCATACTTATTCAATCTGTATGCTGATCACAATATACAGATGATACAACCTTGCTTGCTGAAAACAAAGAGGACTTAAAATATTTACTGAGGAAAATTAAAGACCACAGCCTTCAGTATGGGTTACATCTCAGTGTAAAGAAAACAAAAATCCTCACCATTGGACCAATACACAACATCCATATAAATGGAAAAAAGATTGAAGTTGTCAAAGCCTTCATTTTGTGCAGACGAATCAACAACACTCCTGGAAGCAGCAGTTAGGAAATTAAACAACATATTGCATTAGGTAAATCTACTGCACACGACCTCTTTAAAGTGTTCAAGTGCAAAGATGTCAGTTTGAGGACTAAGGTGTGCCTAACTCAAACCATGGTATTTTCAATAGACTCATATGCATGTGAAAGTTGGGCAAAGAATAAGGAAGACCATAGAAGAATGAATGCATTTGAGTTATGGTGTTGGAGATTATTAAAAGTACCACGGACTGCCAGAAAAACAAACAAATCTGTGTTGGAAGAAGTACAGCCAGAGTACTCCTTGGAAGCTAGGATGAACAGACTTCATCTCTCATACTTCGGACATATTGTCAGGAAGGACCAGTCCTTGGAGAAGTACATCATGCTTGGTAGAGCTGAGGGTCAGCAAAAAAGAGAAGACCCCTGGGAGATGGATGGGCACAGTGGCAGCACCTATGGGATTAAGTGTAGCAACAACCGTGAGATTGACGCAGGATCGGGCAGTAGTTTGTTCTGTTGTGCATAAGATGGCTATGAGTCGGTACCGACTAAATGGCATCTAACAACAACAACATTGCAGAGTCAGGGAAAGGACTAGAAGCCTTTTAGTCTCAACGTGGCTAGGTATGTCACTCAGTTGTCCTCTAACCCATTATATATCTCTATACAAACAATAAGGTGATTAGCTTATTGTGGTGTTTGTTAGTTGTCATCAACTCAGTTCCAGCTCAGGGTGACCCCATGTGCTACAGAGGTTTTCCTGGATGTCACCTCTGTGCAATCACATCACCAGATCGCCTTTTTTCCTGCAGTACTATTGGGCAGATTTGCTCTGCCAATCTTTAGGTTAGCAGTCAAGTGTACACTGTTTGCAGGGCCCAGCTACACGAGGTGACTTCCTAAGAGCCAAAGTGTTCTTATCCTATCAGATACTGCTCATTACCTAGTCATATAGGAACAAGAAAAACATTGAGAAAAAACAGACCCTCAATACTCCAAAGTATTAATTAATATATGTTTGTTTATGAGTCAGATATTCATTTACATTATTGATAATTTCATTTTAAAAGACTTGAAATTCTGCCTAATTGACAAGAAATTCCAATTCTAATAACATTATAATGAAATTACTACCGGTATCTGTACAAGTACATACAATCTACATTCAAATATAAATATAAATGTAATATA